GTGGATCCCAAGGTCACGTTCGCCTGAACGATCAGGGATCGATCACAGTCTCATGCTCGAGGTGTCGTTTTTACACGCTCTTGTTTTGCTCCTGGGAACTTATCAGTTGGTGATGTGATTGGTTGTACGTGATTCCTGAGGTTTCGTCTTTTCTGAGGGTTTGGTTGGCTGTTGTCATCCCCCGTAGGTTGCTGACAGCTTGTCTCGTAACATTTTGCACTTCACAGTTCACCTTCAAGACAACATAACCTACAAGTAGGGGAGCTCACTTCGTAGTAACACTCGGTGACTGACATACTTGTTTACAATAAGGTAATATCATCCAGCCTCCACTTACTCACCAGTGACTATCAGGCACCGCGTAACAACAAGGCGCCCAGGTAACGGCCCAGGCGATCCACTGGTGTATCTGCTCACAACTATTGTCATAAGACCACAGGATAGTCTCCTTATTTATAGCCGTATAGGCAGCTATTGGCAGACCCTCAATGGATTCAGCGACCCTCAAGGTAGGGTCGTGCCGGTTTTGAGGTACAGTTTGCCCCCCAAAATCATTGGCCTGGAAACATTAAAGTCTACTTACTCAGTACAACCCGAAGACCGCTATTGGGTCGTCCTTAGCCTCTGCTTGACACACAACTGCAACCATAATTTCCACCCGCAATTAATGTTGTACTTCTCCTCTCCTTGCACGAAGAGTCGAATGCCACGTGGCTGTACTAGTGAAACCATACCAGTCATCCAGAAATTTGATATATTATCAGATCGTAGGATATCCGTACATGCTGGTGCTGAGGGAACCAATTGAACGAGTTGATTGAAGAAATAACTAAGAGATCGCTGTTGAAGGCGTCTCATAGCCTCAGGGGCTAGTATTGGCGTGTTACAACGCAGGTATTCCGAATTGACCCCACGGATCGATAGCCCTCTAGTCTCTACTGGGGATCGCCGTCGGCGCTTCGGTTGCCCTTTTCATCAGATTTTTTTTCAAGATCGTATTGAGTCGCATGAACTGGTTCCATTGTTCTTCTTTATCCCATCAGCTCCCCAGGGCGATGTGATCCTTTGTCTTTCAGCCCATCATGTCTGACCACCCAACGGATGTCCTCAACACAATCAATCTCGTCACACAATGTCTCTGTATTTCGATCGTTACTCTCTTTGTCGCCTTGCGCTTTTACACCCGGATACGATTCAAGCAACCCCTAGGGGTTGATGATTGTATGTTTCTTCTTGTTCACTATTCAGCTCCTTCTAACCGCTCTTCTAGATAGCTGTATCGTAGCTTGGGTATGTTCAATTAACCTCGAATTCCTCGACAGAGACTAACATCAACTAGCTATTGTTCATGGGATACTGCGCAATAAGTATCGTCAGTAAGTACCACCTATCTATCCCTATCTATCCCTATCTATCCCAATCTAACCAAACCACCTCTAACAACCCCCCCTCAGTCGGCAAACATGCCGACGGCTACCACTTCGGCGAACTTGACGGCGCACACCAAATCCAATTCAAAAAGTTCTGCTACATCGCAACAATCCTTTACTGCCCAATGGCCCTCTCCGTCAAAATCGCCCTTCTTTCAGTCTTAACCCGCATCTTCGCTCTTTACCGCGGCAAAGTCTGGTTCATCTACATCTTCCTAGGCTGTCTCTGCTGCTACTACATCGTCGCTCTCATCATCAAGATCCGCATGTGTGCCCCGATCCCAATGTACTGGCTCGGTCCAGCGGAGGGCGGCTCCTGTCTCGACCAAGCCTCCGCTCTGATCGCCGACTCGGTTATCAGCGTTGTCAGCGATATCATCATACTCATCCTGCCCCTGCCGCTCACGTGGTCCCTGCAAATGTCGCGGAGCCGCAAGCTGCGCGTGATAGGTATTCTCGGTGCTGGTGGTTTGGCTACTGGGTTCAGTCTGTACCGTCTAGTTCTCTTGTTGAAGGTTGATAATTCGGCCGACATGAGTCTGATGTTTGTTCGAGTCATCTTGTCTGGGTATGTTATGTTCACCCCTTTCCCTTTGCATTCCATTCCCATCCCCGTTCCATTCAGGAACCTAACAAACAACAGAAATGCCGAAGGAGGCGTCGGTCTAATCTGCGCCTGTCTCCCAATCCTCAACGTCCTCCTGGCGTACTACAAAAAGACAGCCTCGGACAAATACTACCAACACAGCTCGAACATGGCCCTAAGCGAACGCGAACGGAAGTCCGCCCCGTCCAAGGTTGCCTCCGAATGGGATAAGGCTACTGCATTCGGTGATCAGAGCCATCTGATTTCGTTCGTTAGTGCGCCCGAGGCGAGCGAGTCTTATAACCATGAAGATGGGATTCGGAAAACGGTCGCTGTGTCTCAGACTGTTGAGTCTTCATGACCATGACGTGCACGTATATTGTACATGAGTTATTTTGGCTCTCCCTAGCCTTTGCACCTTTTTTGGTGCCTTTCTTTTGGTTGTGTATACCCTTTTGTGTGTATCTATAATGAATTCTTTGGAATAATAGATTCGATATTATTTGATTATTTGATATTGGGCAATTTAGTTTGGTTGAATGTATACATCATGTGTGACTCGATGTTTCTACCAAGGTTGGGCTTCGGGGTTTATCTAGATTGATAATCGGGTTTATACTTCAAACGGCCGTGCAGAGAAGAATGGTGGAAGCTTCCATGGTTTTTTTGATCCGCAGGAATAAGCTTAACGATCATGTAAAATGACCTGCCAATGGCGGGATGCTCTTTGATGTGTAGGGGTACGTTAGCCAATCAGAAGTCCATATGATGCTCTAAAAAACCAATGCCTTTCACTTAGGTGTATGTATTTTTCAGTTGCCACTTCGCTTCGTGTCAATATCTTCTCCCTATCTCCCTTAGTATCTTCCACTTAAGCCATTACTAAAACCTAACCAGAAATAACAACTAACGTATTCGGCATGCGAGCTGGCCAGGTAAGCGAGCTGGCCACCCACCAATTATTACTAGCATTAAATTGTACATTTCAGCACCACAACATCTTATAATTGAAACTGAAGCTATTCAGACCTCTCTGGGCACCTATTTCTCTTATGTCCTACATTTTTACAAAGGCTACACCGCTGCCTTGCTCTCTGAGGAGGCTGAGTAGGTGTTGGCGAAGACCCTCCTTCTCTAGCTGATCCTGCTTCATCAGCTATTTCTTGTCCTGAAACCATCGATAAAGCCTCCAAAACAGTCATGCCACCTTCGTGAGCTATTCGCTTCCTTGTACGCTGCTTCTTTCGGGTAGTCTTCGCATTGGCAGCCCGTAATTCGCTATTTTCCTGACGCATAATAGTAGCGCCATGGATAGCTAAATGGCAGCCTTTTACGATCTGCTCAAAGGCTGCCTCTACCCGCGATGGGTTGTCTTGTAGCATTTTCTTAATAGATGATGCTTGTCGCCGTACATCCTTCGCTGTATACGGAGTTTTCGGGGTAAAATTGAGGCTCGAATCGCTTCCACGGCTCGGAGGAGGTGGGGTATGTAGGCGTATAGAAAGCTTCGAAACCACGCGATCCGGGTTAAAAGGGGCGATACCAGCAGCTGCGAAGCTATTCAGAATAGTGTCTTGCTTAAATGCTTCATTTCGAGCAGCAGGATAAGCCGTAAGAAAGTCGTTTTTATCGATTCGACAGACACCAAGCTTTACCTGCGACTCAACTAGCTTCCCGTATGCCCGCTTTAACACCCCAAAACAGCCGATATCGAGAGGCTGTAAGATATGAGATGAATGCGCCGGCATACAGATCGGTATAATCCTATTTTTTGAGCAGATATCGTCGAACTTAGGCGTAAGATGGCTGCCGTGGCCGTCGAGGACTAGGAGACGATACCTTCCCTTCGTCCGGCTAGTAGTCAATGGAATAAAGTGCTTTTGAAGCCATGCGAGGCCTATTTCATCGGTTGTCCATCCATTCTTGCTGACTTCGAAGCGCCAATCCCACGGCAAGTTGGTATCCTTAAACCAGGCCTCCATAAAGACCTTGCCCTTAAAGATAACGCATGGCGGTAGCGCCCACCCTGCCGCGCTTATAGCTTCAATTGCAGTCACCCATTCGCGGTTTCCAGGTTGTAAAACAGCTCTCCGACCGTAGGTTCTTCTCGTCACAACCTTTGCGGTAGCTGTAAGACCGAGGGCGAAGCCGGTTTCATCGAAATTGTAGATATCATCGTCTAGAATACCGTACTTCTCGATCGTAGACCTCACGAAGTTAAACCACGTTGAAATCGCCTTTTCGTCTTCGCATTGAGCTCGCCGGTAGTCGTAAGCCCTAGAGAATCGAGTAGAGAGCTCAGGATATCGATTGACGAAGTTTTTGACCCGTTTTTCGCCGACCGTAATGGGTGGAGTAGATCCACGCGCTTCCAGTAGTAAATTCGCTACCTCTCGTACAGTACTCGGCCGAGGAGCAGCTCCACGATCATCTAGTGAGATGATCCAATTATATAGCGATTCCTCCTCGAAAACAGTCAATTTATGGCTGTTAGCGCGTGTTTCGGCGCGGTAGGTGATACCACTAAGACGCGCCGAGAGCGTAGAGCGGGGGACATCAAAAAGCTCTGCAGCCTTGCGTAAAGAGCTAATTTCTTGTTTCTGAATGGCTTCAATAGCTAACAAGATCCTACCCTCTTGCTCAGTACGTTTTTGAGAGCTTTGAGAGCGAATTGGTGGCATGGTGGGTGGTTGAATAAAGACGGTCTAATTACATGAGGTGTTTTTGGGTGGGTGGCCAGCTCGCTTACCCGGCCAGCTCGCATGCCGAATACGTTACCCAAAATCACCCTCATCGAATTGAAGGATTCGGATCAAAAAGCCCGGAATTATACCAAAGCCCGTCCAACCCCGCATCAACTTCTTTAGTTAATGAAGGTAAAAACCAGAGCACTGTCACCGAAAATATAATAAGCATCAAAGGTTGATCCCAAGCAAAAACATTAAAATTTCTTCAATTTAACAGAAAACCTGCAAGCCTCCCAATTAATCAGTGTCAATGTCTGATCCCGTATCTTCTTTGACATAGTAATTCCGTTCGGTGCTGAGGCGATGAATTTCTTCTGCATGCCTGCGAAGATGCATCTCATGTAGCAGATCCTCGTCACACATATAACACCTTCGATCCTGCAAGTGCTTCTCTCGAAAGTGGCGTAGAGTCGGCTTATATTCGCTATACTTCTGCGTCCGGCGATGAATAGGAAGATGGGTGTCGCCATAACATTGAAAACATCGTCGAGGCTTCTTTGCCTTTCTGATGTAATTTTCGGCTTTCACAAGAAGAATATCCTGCTGCGAGGGCTCCGGAGAGCTGCAACTCTTCTTGGCCGGCTCTGGAAACACGTTGGTCTGTTCTTCATCGAACCCATCACTTGGTGCAGCCCGTTTACGTCGCCCACGCAAGGGTCCACCTTCAAGGAAACAACAGTATCGGGAGATCGTAGCCACAGCAGCGTTCCTTCTTTGCCACTCCGCCTCCAGGGATTGAGAGGTAGGCCATGTGAATAATTTCTCAAGAAGATCAATCTGCTCTGGTAGCATCTGGTCTTCTACTTGAAGTACCTTCTTCGCCTCTTCGTCATCAACAGCAGCCCCCGAGAGCTGTCGTTCAATGTCTATTATGGCCTGTTTGCGGTCGAACTCATGGCGGACCTTTCGTCTCAGTGCTCTTTCCAACCGACCGAATGTATTTGAGGTTTCGCGTGTCAATTTCTCTAATCGCGATTGCATCGCTGCACTGGGATCGCATTTGCACTCTTCGGCTTGCTCCCTCATTCGCCGAGTGGCCTCGACATATTCTGGATGTTCGCGAAGGGACGCTCGCTGCTCCGAAGTAAGATGTCGAGGGCGTCTTTTGTCAATCCACCTACTCATCCGGGTGATCGCGCGCATCAGAGACCTGTTGGATTCGCGGCCGTTCATAACGCTCTGCATATCGGTGTCGATGTGGCGTGGAAGATAATGATTCAAGAACGTGCGAGTGTCAGCGTGTTTCATAATCAGATTTTGCTGTGCTTCGCTGACCGCGCTGCTTTCGTTTAACATCTTTCCCCCTCCATAGCGAAAACGATGGGCGAACATTGACTGAAGGAAGCCGTGGATCTCCCCTAGATTTCTCAGACGTCCAGACATGGCGCTCTCGGCCATCGGCTGGTTCCACTGGAGAACTGCACGTCCATTGACTACGTCTGTCTTGCAGAAGACATAATAGTTTTCGACTTCACGTTTCAAGGGTAGTTCCATCTGTTGTCGACCGCCTTCCACGAACAGCTTTCGAAGGCGCTCCATGGAGGAAAGCGCGGGGACTTCGAAGGCTTGAAGCCAAAAAAGTATACCGAAGATGAATGTATGAGGACTGAAGACAAGCGACGGATCGTTGATGATTTCAGGAAAAGGAAAATTGTTACTAAGAATTAGTGTTAATATTAGGACCTTCATCGCCGGGTCCAATGCATCATACATACACTTGCGAAGTTCCGAGGAATTTCTTCGTATGCTCCGACTTGATCTCCGCCAAAAGTACGGGAGGGCCTCCATCGGGATTGTGTTGTATGGAGAAATTCAGATGTTTGAATTGTAGCGAAAGAAGAGCATGCAGCCGGTTCACGGTAAAAATACCGAGCATGTTGAAGAGACAGAGCTGGATTCGTTCGTATCCAAAATGAAACCGTCTTTCCTGTGTTCGGAGAATGGTCTCGTTCAATTCAGTCATGTCTTGGACGTACACCGGCTCCTTGCCCCGTTGTTGTTGATCGAGGTCGAATTTATCGATGAGTTTCCGAATACCCTGGAACTCAGTCAGCTCCGAGCGTCAGTTGAAGGGGAATAACTTACCGCATTAATCTCTTCGCTATCTTCAGCAGTTATCCTGGCCCGTGTAATTCTCCGGTAGTAACCTCGAAATCCTTTCCAGTCAGCTTTCAGGGCGCTAGCTTTCGACGTTCCCTTCAGATGTCGACCGCCTTCACCGTATTTCAGCTTCATGCAGTAGTTGAAAAATCGATGCACGTCATTAGGGGTAACCTCGCGCAATGCCTCCTCCGGATCATCCCATTTCAAAAGCGCACCAGGCTGAGCAGCCTTCACTCGGCAGTACCTACTCCTCGCATCAGTAACCACCTCCACAATGCGTAGGTCTGAATCAATACTCACTTGTGCCAGCGCTTTTCTATTCGACGACCCCGAACCTTGGTTTGTTCCGAGTGCCCATAATCAAGCGGTATATCTGCAAGGTCCTCGTCTGTGTCGTCATCAGGGTCATCGCTGAAATCGGGCAGAACCCCAGCGTCCGCTAGGCGTCGCACTGGTCGTTTTGGAGGGGTTGAAGGCCCGCTACGATTCTCAGGAAGACAGATGGGTTCCGGAGTTGTCAGCTCGGTTGAATTTGAGGCTTCCTCGGAATCGGAGTCATCGGTCGCATCGAAGTCAGGCCGGAAAGATACCCCGGAAGTGTCACTGTCGGTCGCAGAGGATGGATCTGAAACGTTGCTCATGCTGCCTCTGGGGAAACAAAGATGTGCGCGAAGCCGCTCCAGGTAGGTAGACAAATCAACGGGAATGACGAACGACCGTGAGGCACGCGCTGAAGGGGGGACCAGCAAAGGACAGGTACCAGATGAGAGGAGGGCTGCGTAGAAGAGTGAAGAGGGACTGGTGGCAGCTTTATGGCCATCGACCACATTTGCCCAGCGACCAATGAGCCTGAGACGGAGTGTGCCATTTTCGGCGACCTCAGAAAACGAAGGGTCGTCGTAGCGCTCAAGGACCAGGCCCGGAGGTGGGTAGAAGTCGATGGAAAGCAGGAGCGGGGCTCAGGGTCGAGGGAAAGGGGAGCCACGCGCCCAGGCACCGACATGGCTGAACAAGAGCGTGACAACACGACAAAGGGGGGCAGGCGAGAGCAATGTGGCTCTGGGGCCGTAAGTGCGTGTGCGGAAGATCGGTGCCGAGGAGGCCATTTTCGGCGCACTTTGATAGACCTCGCCATGACCCGGACCGTGGGTCCCTTCTCGCGACCCTTGACCCGCCCCTCCGGAGGGGAGGGTCGTAGGCTGACGACCCTCACCGCACCTGAGGGTCATAAAATCTTTGGAGGGTCACCCGCCAAGTTACCCTCACGACCCGCATATGCATAAATTCTTCACACCTTCCCTGATTAGGATGGATAAATTTGCTGACAGATAGCAATAAATTACTGTTTCTTATACCTGTTTCGTCTGTCACACACTTAATTCATCTTTTTCTATCCGACCCCTGTGTATTTTTATGAAATATGTCTTCAGGTCTTCTTGCTTGGTAATACTCAATTGACAGATTCTCAGGTCTAAGGGAGACCGTTGTGGTGTGTATTGTAAAGAATTGGAGAGATTGGCAAATCACGATGTGGAAATATATATTTTGAGTGCAGAACGTAGTCGCACCGCAATCCAGAGACGGCTAACATTTTTCTGGATATAACCTAAAACCACTGGAAATCCTGACTTCATTGTATTTGATATATTGTATTCACTCTCTAAACACTTATGCTACGCTAAAATTAAGCAGAATATGTCGATTAAGTTCAATTATGTGACTCCAGAGTTCTAGGGTCCTAAGGGCGACCCTCATAACCCTCAGGGTGACCCTCATAATCCTTGTTCTAGCCAATTAGTATCGGTAGTATCAAATATGATATATCACTTTTTCTCCTTTGTTTGCGAAGTAGACCCTTGTCTACAAGACTCAACTACCCCTGAGTTCTTTACTGAATAGCACAAGAGATCGAGGTAAGACTTTTCTTCTCCTAACCATCTTCATAATGTCCCAGTTCTCTGATAACTTTTCATCTGCTTATGGGGGTCCTCCCTCGGATTTTCTTGAATATATTGCTAATGATAGTTCAAATCAGCTTTACTCCTCTATCCCATCTGGAAGTCAAACTACCTCCCTTCCCTCGTCTCTACATCGAGCGGCACCTGATTGTCTTCCACGGATTTGCCCCGATCGGATCAGATCGTACATCTTATACTCACCGGAAATGGGTAGCGAATTCGTGCAGTGGTGGCTTCATACCGATTTTGGCCAAAAGAAACAGATATCTTGGGATACAAAACGAGCTGCCCAGTGCTGGAAAAACTTTGACCAAGTCGCGTTTGAAAAAGATGGAAAGCCTGGGGTTATGTGCCATCAATGTCGGAAGGTGCTTGATCACCCTGGCTGGGCTCATTCAGGGACGACCTCAATGAATAAGCACTATAATGAGGTAAATTGCCGAAAAGCTGCCTCAGCTGCAGGGAAGAAACCAAATATCAAGCTTGCATTAGAGCATGCGGTATAGATAAGACCTAACTCTAACCGTGACGATCCTAAATCTGACCTCGACGTTTAGGCGCAGAATGCGACGGTACGAAGATTCGATGAGCGAGTTTGGCAGCAGAAGCTTGCTAAGCTTCTTGCTGTATCGCATCTCCCCTTTCTGTTTCTCGAGCACACCGAGTTCCGTGATCTTATCTCCTACGCCCGGCTTGCACCGTCAATGCCGGAAATTCCTTCTGCTAAGGTTATGCGCCGGCAGCTTCGAGACCTAGTCCGTGAGAACCAAAAGAGTATCCTTCAGAGACTCCCTTCTGGTGCGAAGCTATCACTTGCTCTAGATTGCTGGACATCGCCATTTAAGCAGGCATTTATAGCGATTACGGGATACTTTCTTGACGAAGACTGGGAGTACAATGAGATACTACTCAGATTCGAACACTTACATGGATCTCATTCAGGTGCAAATCTGAGTGAAGTGCTCTTCAAGCTGCTACAGGAGTATCAGATCACAGATAGAGTGCTTACGGTAACCACCGACAACGCTTCAAATAACGTTACCCTTATGGCAAGTGTCCACGACGCGATTGAGTCACTACAATCCGCCAACGATGTCGTTATTATTCGGATACCGTGTATTGCCCATGTGATCCAGTTAAGCCTTAAAGACCTCCTTGGGAAGATGAAGGCTGCTCCAAAGAATGATGTAGCTGAACAGGCATGGTCTGATGACCGGGTGGATAGTCTTCGTGCAAGACAGCAGAAACGCGAGATCGTGGACACTCTAAATAAGGTGAGATATCGTAACTTTTCTACCATTCATTATCCTAATCTGTCTCTTAGGTTCGAAGCCTTGCGATCTATATCAACGCGAGTCCGCAGCGCCGAGAGTCATTCTACAACTTACAAACTAAGGAGCCAAAGCTCGTGCCAATTCAGGATGTTGCTACTCGATGGAACTCCACGTTCTTAATGCTTGTCCGCGCAAAGAAACTCCAGCAAACCTTCGATGCTTTCTGTACACAGTACGACCAAGAACATTTTGCCCTAAGTCAGGAGCAGTGGCGACAAGTGGACTATCTTATCTGCATCCTTCAGCCTTTTCACCGATTCACAACTCTTCTTTCAAAGTCGAAGGACGTCACTATCCACCGGGTCTTTAAGGTCTACAATAAGCTATTTGATCACATAGAAAAGTCGATTAGACGGCTTAGACGGAAGAGGGTCGCTTGGAAGCAAGGAATGCTTATGTCACTCGAAGCGGCAAAAAGCAAGCTCTCAGTCTACTATAAAGACACTGATAATATGGATGGCGATCTCTATGCCATTGGCACAATCCTTTCTCCGCAGGATAAACTTCAGTTTTTCTCAACCGCCGACTGGGACCCAGAGGAAGGCGGAATTGATTACCGAGCAACCTATCGCCAGAGCCTTGAGTCCTCTCTCGAAAAGTACTCTGAGAACCTTGCGCGGGAGCAGCTGACATTAGGTGCTCCTCTAATGATTCCAGAAACGGATGAATTTGATTTAGCATGTGTTCGAGACGAGTCGCAGCAATCGCAGATTCCACAGCGAGTTCAATCTGACGAGCTGACAAGGTATCTTGATAGTAGTAAGTTTCTCTTAATTTCGACAGAATTTATTACTTATTTCTCTTTCAGACACAGTACCAAATGCTCAGCCTCGAACTTGGTGGAAATATCACCAAGATGAATTCCCGAGAATGGCGAGGCTTGCACGGGATATTCTTTCGATTCCAGCTAGTGGTGCAGGAGTAGAACGGCTTTTCAACTCTGCGCGAGATATTTGTCATTATCGGCGGGGCTCTCTACAGCCTCAAACAATCTCGGATCTTATGATGTATATGTGCACGTCGCGTTTCGAGATTCTTGAAGAGGAGCGAATAATGCTGTCTGAATATCTTTCAGCCCAGGAGATACAGGCTGCAAAGGAAGAGAGAACACAGCAACATATCACCGTTGATCCAATCAGTGATGATGAAGAGGATGAGGGGCCTTCTACAGAGTTTCAAGCAACTTCGCCTGGCCAAGCAGCTTCACAAGGCCTATCTACAAACGCACTTGGCAAAAGATGCTTAAGCAGTATAGCCAAGGATACAGGAGGTGACCAGGAAGATGATAGTGAAGTGACATGCCTGCCAGAGATACAGCACCGAGTATCTGGTAGAGTTCGCAAGCGTTCAAGGTTGCTTGATGGATATGAAATATTGGATATATAGTTAATTCGTTCAATTCATCTATTCAGTTCATCTCTTCAATCTATCTGTTTAATGCATTCAAAGTGATCAAAGGTAGCAAAGTAAGCCTAGAACTGCTGTAAGTGAGATACTCAAAAATACAGCTAAAACCTACATAATTTGTGCACCGCGCGACATGCTGGTGTTTGCATTGTTTTACGACCATGAGGGTCGGGTCGTGGCCCTGAGAGTCGGGGGCACTTTCAACGACCCTCCCCTCATGGAGGGTCAGGGTCGGGACTCACTACCCAGGACCCTCCGAGGTCCGGGTCGTGGTCCGGGTCGTCAGGGTGACCCGCGGGTCGTGGCGAGGTCTATACAGATCCTCTCGCGTAAAGCAGGTGTAAGTTCTGAGCGTGGAGCCATAGTAAAAATAGCAGATTTTGAAAGGTAGGCTTCATGGAAATAGTATTATAAAATAGCTAGAATGGCTAAAATCGCGAGAAATAGCGACGCGTAGCTAGCGTGTCTTACTAGGCGGTGTCGGCTAAAGAGAAAAGCGGTATGAAAGTGGGTCTAAGGAGGATGTCCAAACTTATGGCCAGTCACTGTATTTGGGTTCTCCTGAACGCGAGGAGGCTACCTTCCTTCTGCTGCTTCGCGCTACGTCTTGTATCTAGAGTCCACTATAGTTGTTCTCGTTCCAAGTCAAAGAGCCAGGCCCTTCGTAAACGCTACAGCAAGTCAGGTCTCCTCTTCGCAGTCGGATAGTGCATCAAGCGAGGACGGAGATTCGATTTGAAACTGTGATCTTTCAGTTCCAATTCCCAGAATGTGCATTATATGGGGCTTACATCGGGCGATGACGCGCAAGAACCCCTCGTGCTTCCGTCTTCAGTAAATGGGCCGCCATCCAGAGCGGATGCCCGCAACAACTTTCTCAGCGAATTGGGCCTGGGCTTGATGTCTTCTGTTGGTTGAAATAGGGGATGTGCTTCCAAAGCC